TTATTATTATTATTATTATTATTATTATTATTATTATTATTATTATTATTATATAAAAATAATTCCACATAACAACTAAGTTAAAACGGAATTATAGCTCGAGATGAGCCGAATAAAATCCTATTCAATCTCGCTCTCTCTCTCTCTCCAAAAGTTAAATAGGAAACAAATTTTAATATAAACTTCTGGAAATTCTTATATTTAAAATAAAATAAATTAAATACTTATAAAGCACCTGCCCAAAGAATATTTGTTGGCATTTAAAAACTTGCATGTGTCAAACGTATGTTTATTTCATGCATTTTTTCACAGGTTTTCCTGCTCTGTTCTCTCTTTTCCTTTTCGTTTTCGTTTCTTTTTTTCTGCTTAAAGCGCTTCCGTTATTTCATTTCCGCAACAAATTTGATGCGGCTTACATTTATCATACGCCGCGTGTGCTGTCACTTCATGCACACGCACACAAACATACAGTCACACACACACACTCGCACACACACACACACCATGCAGATTGAACCACATAAATCTCTCTTTGGGAATTGCCATTCAAATGGCAAATGCAATAATAATTCGCAGCTCAAACAACTTGGAGCGAGCCATGGAGCTCTGGGCGATGTCGCAGTGTTATATATGGAATATTGAGGGGGCGTTTGACATCCCTCAAGTTCATTCAGTTTGATTTGTTTGGTTGTTTTTAGTGTTGTTTGCGTTGTCGAAGCGTTTATCATGCTCAGGTTCATGATTGATTATAATACGGCTATTGATTTAGCAAAAGGTCTGAGGGAGGCTCGCACACACCCACCCCGCTACCCCACCCGAGTTAATCGAGGTTGACTGCAATTCGAGAAGTGCCTGACTGGGCTGGGCCCGATGCGGTTCAATTGTAAAAGGGCGTCAAAACAATGCATGCAAAGCTCCCCCAGCTCCCTCAGCCAGGACGAACATTGGGGGCACTCACACCAAAAGGAAAGGCAACATTTTTTTATAGCTTCCTGAAGGGTGTGTGTGTATGCGTGTGTTATCAGCTGTTTGCTGCTCGTGTTATGACTGTAACGGAAATGTACAAGCAACAACAACAATAGCAAACAACAATAAAAATAACAGCAAAGCAGGAAGAAAGCAGCCCAAACGGAAGCAGCGCCGCCGCTGTCAAGCAACACTAACACACTAACCGATAAAAATAGAAAATACCAAACAAACAAAAAATAATACAAATAAAAAGAGAGCGAGAGAGAGAGAGAGAGCGAAAGAAATTCAACTAGCAACCGAAAAGAAAGCAAACTACTCGACATATACGTATTATAACAGCCCCCAAAACAAAAAACAAAAAAATGGCGACGAAGTTGGCGCAAAATAAAAAATAAAACAAAACGAGTAAAAGTAAAAAACAACAGCAACAAAAAAGGGAACGGCTGACGCCTCCCCTGGGCCAAACAAAAGCCCTTTGAGGTGCAGCTAGACAAATCAAACAAAACAACAACAACAACGGCAACAACGGCAACCAAAAAGGCAAATAGGCAGCTGGCATTACATGGCAGTTGACAAAGTAGGGGTAGTCCCGTTTGAAGTGGAAATCGTTAAAATATGTCAGCTGAGCACAAAGAAAAATTGCCTTGAGAAATGGTTAGAAGTTAAATGAATGAATACATTTTTCAACATATGTATATTTATATAATATGAAAAATTTAATTTAAAAAAAAAAATATATATATATATATATATATATATATATATATATATATATATAT